GATGTTCTGGCTCACCCGAGCGAAGCGAGAAAGGGTTTCATCATCGGCGATGATCCTTCGGTTCACGCCATGGGCTACGGCGCATGTGTGCCCACCGTCTCTGCGGTGTTCGATCTCCTGATCCACCAACACGTATTCCTGAACAAGCTGTTGTCCGGCCTCGTTGATCTCCCGTTTTTGGGCTTTTAGCTGCTCCACCCCTACGTGGGACGGGGCCACCGTTCTTCCTTCGGTTCCGTCGCCGAGGTTGCCCGTCGGGGTGACCTCCTTCTCAGAGGCGCTTTTGACGTGTCTCTTGGAGGTTTCCGCCATGAAGCATTCCCAGGAGGGATGATGGCTCCCCCTGCCGGAGTCAGAGCCAGAGTCCGACCCCGGACCCTCTACGAGGAGGCCGTGGAGGGATTCTATGACGCTTTTGATCATCCCCACGAACTCGTTGTTCGCGGGGGACGGGATCGCGTGCTGGGCCACAAGGTGGCTTACGGTCGCCGCGGCGTTGCGGAGACCGAACGGAAACGCCGTCGAGGCGCTCCATGCGGAGCATTCCGGAGAGAGGGTGAGGCGGCGCGAGGCCTCCCTAGATGGCTAGGGTCCAAGGGAGATGCTGGGCTGACCCTCAAGCCTTCGGTAGCCGGAGCCGATGGTGAGATGGGCCAACGCCAACTCTCCTCCCACCGTGACGATGAAGTCTAGGTCACCGAAACGCACGTGTGCGCTCGGGACCCAGCTGATTGCGTGGTTAGCCATCCGAGGCCTGATTTGGAACGCGCAAAGCCCCCTACCTGGCGCGCCAACTGTCGGTGTTTTGAACAAACACCGGCTAGTAAATTTATAATTGTTGCACGTTAGGCCCGGATGGTGCACTAAAGGACACAAGGTTTATACTGGTTCGGGCTGAACGTCCCTACATCCAATCTGCTGCTGCTCGTGTTATTAGTGCCGAAAATGGTTCGTAGTAGGGGGTACAAACGGTCGAGAGAGGGACAAGTCCCAAGTCTCTGATGGATTGGTCGAAAGGTCGCCGAGAGCTTGGTCGCTGCTCAGCTGTGCATGATGTGTGTTGTTGAGTCGTGTCGGTTGGTCTCTCTGTGAGCTTATTCCTCCCCTTAGCGGGGTGCCCTGCCCTCCCTTTTATAGACCAAGGGGGAGCAGGGGTTACATATTGGAGAAAGGAGAAAAACTAGAGGCCAAAAAGCCCCTCCGAAGGTGTTGGGCCCTCCTTTTCCGCTGAGTCAGCGTCGCCGACACGGCCAGACGATGTCAGGGATTGGCACGTTCGCCGGACGCCTGTGTGCTGACGACGCCATGCCCTTACCGGATCAGCAAGTGGTCACGTCCCGTCCCGCCCCTCCGGACGGCGTGTCGGACAAGGGTGTTGACCTGTAGCCCTGTGGTGAGCGGACGGCGCGGTGACTGTACGTTCGTCACTGTAGAGGGCGCGAGTCTCTTCTTGGACCATAGTGGTTGTTGTATGTCTATGTCAGGTTCCGCGTCCGAGGGCTGAAGGCGGCGCCTACAACACTATTCGGACTCTGCCACGCCCGGAATGGCCTAAAGCGCCGGTCCTGTCGTACCCCGACGGTACTTTCCTGCAGCGGTGCATGGCATGGTCCTTGGTACTGCGTTTGACTTGAATGTCCTGTCGTACCTTGTGCTCGTCATTATGAAGGAGCAGGGTGTAATCGTCGGGCGAGGCAGACTCTGCCCCCGGCCGTCGGGTAAGGCGGAACCTGCCCTCGGACGTCGGGCGAGACGGAGCCAGCCCTCGGGGGTCGGGCGAGGCGGAGCCTAGCCCCCGGAGGTCGGGCGAGGCGGAACCAGTCTTCTATCGTTCGGACAAGAAACGCAGTAGTGTTCTCGTCTGATCGGAAGTATCAACGTTCGATGGTCATTGGTTCCACCTCATTAGATACCCTGGTATTAGGCCCCCGACACTATTGTTTTGTTGCAGCTTGTTTTATGCTGATTTGAAGGAGACTAATGTGTGGTACTATTTGTATATTTCTACAGGAGTAAACAAATTGTGCCTCATATTGAAGCGAAGAATGCCCCCCTGATTCATGTCTCATTACATTTACTGGACTAAGATTACTTCATCTGGATAACAGCTGAAATTATGATCCAGTAGTAGGTGAGGTCCATAGTGTTTGGAGTTCTATTCTGGACTTGTTCTTGTGATGAGTTGAGGCTAACACGCATTGTAAATTCCTATTCTACTTCTGACTAGAGTCCTTACTTCGATAGTGAATGAGATGTAGCAACTACTAGAATTGTTTAATAACTTTAAGACTCAGCTAGATACTCTAAGCTGAGGGTGTTTATGAGTTGGATAGCCCACTTGTAAGCTGAGGTGTCAACAGGCAGTTGATTTGGTCTCTGTCAGAGCAGCTTAATTGGCCCTCTCCTACTGGTTGCAGGTTTTGAACGGTTCGAATGTTCAATGGTCAGTTTTCTTGAGCTCACTGAAGCTATTGCCGGAGCAGTTTTCTTGATGTCTGCTATGTGTAGAATTTCCAGAACCTTGAATGGTGCCAGCAGGAGGGGAAGTGCTGCTGGAAGCTGCAAGGAAGATACTTTTGGCTGAAAGAAATGTATTTCTTTTTGAGGAGAGCCTAACAATCTTGTGACCAAGCAAGATTATAGTTGATGATACAGAACGGAGAACATGGAGGGTTCAATAGAAAATGTTCTAAAGTATGTATTGCGGAAGTTCAGCGCTCATGCAGCATTGATATTTTGTTAGATTAATAAAATACTGCCTTTATGATGATCATCAATCCCTTTTTGGCGCATTTTTTTGTCCATAAAATTTTATCTGTTACCCCCCTTATCGATCCTCCTACTTTTCAAAGATTCCAGTCTCTGACAACGATGAACTCACCTATTCGGACATTGAGCAGAAACAGCTTGCGGATTGCGGGGGCCCCTCATCGTGTCGACGAAGAAGTTGACACCTTCACTCCAGTTCGTGCAAGCTCAGCAGCAGCACAGCTGTTGCAAGTCACGGCACAGTTCAACTGGGCATCGTGGAAAATATTCCTTCCTCCTTAAGAGAAGAGAAATCGTTCCGCCTGTTCGATTTCTGAACTGATAAGTCTGGTTGGTGCTGGTTTGTTGTGAGAGGAAAACACTATTAGCTGGTTGATAAGTCCTGACTAAAACCAACAAACGAACAGGCTGATTAAATCAATCACATTGACAGACGCGAGACGCCATCAGCGACGTGGGGGCCCGTTATCGACGAGCCATCAACACCTCGCTAATGGCGATCTCATCTCGACGCTAGTATTTTTTATATTTATATATATATTTAAAAAGAAATCACCTAGTGGCGATGGCGATCAATCATGCACGCGGCGCAGCTGCTGAAGATATCTCTAGATATGGGTAATCGTCAGGACGTTTTCCGAGCGTGCGGCGTCCACCCCACCGCCACCACAAGGCCCTGGACCACGAGGACAGATCAGTCAAACAGCGGGTGGCGCGCATGCCCCGGGTCCCGCTCCCGCCCCACGGCCACGGAGATGGCCCATGGCCGGCCAGGAGCACCAGCCACCACACCGCCCGGCACGTAGGCCCGCGGGTCACACCGCCTCCCGTGCGCATGTCCAAAGCGGGCGCAGTCCGGCCCGGCCGCGGCGTCCGCAGTCCGCGGCGGCAGTGGAAAACCATCCCGCTCCCACGCGGCCACGCCACGTCCCCTAGCAAGACGCTGTCGCTCGGGGAGAGGGGGCGGGGAAAGCTCGTGCGCGACTCGGCGCGCGCACTGGTGGACCGGACCGCGACGTGCTAACCGCGCGGGGACGTCGTGTTCGGGGGGCGGTGGGTGGATTCCCGGGCGACTTTTTCTAGCGGCTGCCTGTTTCTTCGGCTGCTGCAGGCCGCACTACTGTTGGGTGCTAGGGAGTTTGACGCTGAAGCTGCTGAGCTAATCGCGTCGTCGCCCGGGTGTTGTCAGGTCAGGTGGCTGGACCTTGGACGGGACGTTGACGTCACCGCAACACGAGACATACCCGAAGAGTTTCTAGACACGGTTCACCTAATACTCTTCTTCGTCTTGGATGTGTTTAGCTGGGGAGTTGAAAATTTGTGGGTGTCACATCGAATGTGTCGGAAAGACGTCGGGAGGGGTTTTTGATACTAATAAAAAAATAAATTATAGAACTTATTAGAAACTGCGAGACGAATATAATGATACTAGGTAATCGGTCATTAGCACATGTGGGTTATTGTAGCACTTAATGCTTTTATGGACTAATTAGGCTTCAAAGATTCGTCTCGCGATTTTGCCGAGAACTGTGCAATTAGTTTTTTTTCGTCTACATTTAGTACTCTATACATGTGTCCAAACATACTCTTTTACTGTAGAAGTCAAAAATGTTTGGAAACTAAACGGGCCTTAATATAAGAATGGCGTAACATTTTAATTAATTACCGAGGATTTAGAACCTACCATCTGTTTTCAAATGTTAGGTCCAATTCAAAACGGAGAAAGTCGGATCCACTGTGAACTCGTCAAAGATGTCACACTTTCAAGCCAGTTTGAGAAAATCTGGAAACCTTCAATTCGCAAGTAAGTCGAGTGCGACTACTGGTTTTTCTGTTTTCTTTTTTAAATAAAATAAAGGAAGTACGAGTTCGGGAAAAAAAATAAAGGAGCACGAGCCTTTTTCTTTTGGCGCTAAAAGAGTATGTGTACTGTCGCGGCAGCAGCGAGCCTGCGATCCGTGCTCAGTACGCGTGGGACCCAGGCGCTTAATGGCCCCACGTGTCATGGCAGACAAGGCGTATAATTAGGCGCAGCAGATCCGGGATTAGCCATTTTTTCAATTTTCGGCGCCGTTTCTTCGTCATTTTTTTCCCTTTCTCTTCCTCCTTCCTCTCGCTCGCTTCCCTTCCCTGCTCCCCTTCCTCCCCCAGCTCCCCCCTTTAATCCTCCATCCACTCGCGCCAATCTCTTCGGCCGGGGGGCAGGGATCGGTTCCTGGCCGCCGCCCGTCATGATCTCCTGGCGGCGCAGCGCGTCCTGGCTGTCGTCGGCGTCGCGTTCCTCGCTCGGCGCTGCCGTCGGCGGGGAGGCGAAGGTCACGCCGGAGGCGGATCCGGCGGCCCAGGAGGAGGAGGAGGAGGACGAGGCCGACGAGGAGCGGTGGTCGCGCCTGCTGCCGGAGCTGCTCGTGGAGATCATGCGGCGCGTGGACGCCGGCGCCGAGCGCTGGCCGCCGCGTCGGGACGTGGTGGTCTGCGCCTGCGTGTGCCGGCGGTGGCGCGACGCTGCGGTCTCCGTCGTGCGCCCGCCGCTCGAGTGCGGGAGGATCACCTTCCCGTCCTCGCTCAAGCAGGTGAGACACAGAAACCACCGGGCCGTAACGTCTCGTCATGGTAATACTGGCTCTTTTGATCTGTTTGTGTAAATCGCCTGAATCTACATGGCTTGAAATTGCTGTGTTCTTGAGGATTTGGGGCTCATGGTTATTGTGGCTGTGCGTTTTCTTATTACCCATTTCTATCCCTGAAAAAATTAAAACCAGTAGCTACAAATCCTATGGGTATCTTTGATTTGAAGCTCTAGGTGCAAGAGATGTCTTCTGCGCCTTTTTCTTATGCAGTTTGACTCGATCTCAGATGATCTCTGGATCAGTTGTTGGATTTCATCTTCTTCAAATTAATTTTCTGTTTCTGAATAGACGTCTATGCCTATTCAATTTTATTTGTACGCAGAAATGCTAACAATTTGTATATCTAATTCTTATGTGTTCTGCTTACAAGGATCAGCAGATCCATGTTAGTACTCGAACAATTTGTATATCTAATTCTTATTGTTCGTCTAGCGCTGCTGTAATGTTCCTTGTGCGTTAGGATTTAGAATGGAGCCACATATTCATCATAATCTCCATCCTCTTCTTTTGGCTGCATAACACTATATTTTTGGTGGCTAGTGCTAATAAAGTATGACAGTAGTGGAGAAGTTGGCACAAACACGGACTTTCTTTATTTATGTTTATATGTGATAGCTGGATTTTGTTTGGTATGCCAGTAGCGATATGATAATACCTATAAAAGCTTGCTTCGTTTGGGTTTACTAAGTATTGATTTAATGGACACGTATATTATTTCTTTTGCACAGCCAGGACCAAGGGATGCACCGATGCACTGTTTTATCCGGAGGGACAAAAAGAACTCAACCTTTTCTCTCTATCTCAGCTTAACACAGGGTGAGTAAGCTTGGGTATCTTCTTATTCCGCCATGCTTTTGATCTGGTTCACTTGGTGGATTGACATAGGGGTTTCAGATCTCTTTTGGTTTGAATAGGTAGTGCCAAGTAAACAACAAAAAAGGCTGACTGACTTTCTGAGGTTCCTGATCCACCTATGATATTTGAAATGGAATCCTATAATTCTGTCAAATCATGTTTATAAAATTGAAAGCGTAGCCATTACGGCAAAATAAACAGCAAATACAGCTGGCACCTCTGCTGAGGTTACTTTGCATATGACTTGTGATGTTGCACATCTGTACGTAGTCTTGTTTAGAAAATAGAAAAGTGAATATATAGTTTGTTTATTCCTATAATCATTTACGGCTTTCTTGTACCATTTGACGAGGACCCTGTACACCTACTTTGCCGTCTCACCTACATATTTAGAGTGTCCTGCCTAAATATAATCCTATTCGTTCGGTAGGAAGATTTGACTTGTGTCATTGATTGTTGAAAAACAATTCAATTGAATACTTTGGCATTGATTCTTACTCGGCATCTACTTGATTTGATCTTAATGGCTAATGTAAATTTTGTAAATCTACCTTGCTGGCATAATAATATTTTTTTCCACACGAGGAACCTTCCCCATTTCCATTAGATCAACGGAAATACATTGTTCAGCATTACAGATGAGATAGAAGCAGAGGACATGTAAACGAACATAACAGAAACCGATCAACGACATCAGGGATGCCAGGAGCTAAAACCAGCCACCAGAAAACTAACAAGCAACTAAAAGGTCCCTGAGCCTCACCACACTCACCATCCAGAACAACCTACAACCAGAGTTCCAGAAAAGATCTTAAAAGCAGCACTTGGAACACACCAAGGCCAATGTTTGTTTAACAAAAGGCAACCACTAACTGAAGACTTCAGGCACCACCCCTCGCATGTATTTTGGACCCGATTCAAACTGCATCTTCAGGGTCTGATGATTTGCCGTCACGAAGGAGTAGCCTGTTGACTTGTCTCGCCGTCTGGGTCGCCAGAATCTCCTTAGCAACCCTCAGTATCGTGTTTGCCCCTTCCACCAGCTGTTCATGATCTATTTCGGCATATAGACCTGACCAGTAAATCATAAGTGCGCATGCGTGACAAATTATCTCAAGAGGATTATTAATGAGTTTTTTTCTCAAAACAGGCCCTATTTCAACATTTCCATATTGCCCAGCATATGGCAGCCACACCTCAGGGGTGATATTGTTTACCAAAAGGGAACCATTGTTCACACCATTGCCAACATTGCTGAAGATTTGTAGGAATGTTAGAAGCCCCAAAGCATTTCGCAACAACTAGCCAGATAACTTTGACAACTGGACATTGAAAAAACAAATGAGAGACAGTTTCCACACAATCACAAAAAGCACAACTAGGATCTCCTTGCCATTTCATTTTCTGCAAATTGTCTTTAGTCAAAATAGCATTGTTAGTCATAAGCCATAAAAAGATCTTGATCTTTGCGGGGATCTTCCCCTTCCATATCCTTTTGTGATAAATTCCAGATTCAGCTTTAGATAACCCATTATAAATTGATTTCACAGTAAAAGAATTACTTTTTCCAAGCTTCCAAACTACAGAAACATGATCACCCACTGGCATAATAATCTATAGTAGAGCTTGTTTGCCATAGGATCAAAGCAGGGTGGATGAAGTGGCGCCAAGCATCTGGCATTCTCTGTGACAAGAGGGTACCACAAAAGTTTAAAGGCAAGTTTTATAGAACGGCGATTAGACCCGCTATGTTGTATGGAGCAGAATGTTGGCCTACAAAAAGACGACATGTCCAACAACTGACTGTCGCGGAAATACGTATGTTGCGTTGGATTTGTGGTCACACAAGGATGGACCGAGTTCGGAACGATGATATATGTGATCGTCTAGGGGTAGCACCAACAACAACAAAGCCTTTTGTCTAAGGGTAGCACCAATTGAAGAAAAGTTTATCTAACATCGGCTGAAGTGGTTTGGCCATGTCCAAAGGAGACCTTCCGAGGCACCAGTGCATTGTGGAGTCCCAAGTCGAGATATCAATGTGAGGAGAGGTAGAGGAAGACCGAAGCTGACATGGGGGAGGCAATAAAAAGAGATTTAAAGGGTTGGGATATACCTAGAGATCTTTGTTTGGATAGGAGTGCTTGGAAAGCGTCTATTGACGTGCCTGAACCATAACTAGGGGCGCTTGTTAGGTTTCAACTCTAGCCTACCCCAACTTGCTTGGGACTAAAAGGCTTTGTTGTTGTTGTTGTGAAGTACTCCCTCCGTTCTAAATTATAAGATGTTTTGACTTTTCTAGATACATTACTTTTACTATGTGTCTAGACATAGTGGATATCTAAGTATATAGCAAAAGCTACGTATCTAGAAAAGCCAAAATGTCTTATAATTCGGAATGGAGGGAATAGATGATTTTGCAAAGCTAATGGAGTTTTGGAAACTCTGCATGATCCATTTCCACTCACATAATCAGTTCAACTTATGTTCTGTGAAAGCAAGAAAATGTTGAAATACTGGGTCCTGTCAAGTGTATGATTCACTATTTCACTGTATAAATAAGGTTACAGTTTCTCACAAGTATGGTATGTAGAGGCATTATGGCTTGGGAACTTGAAACCATGAACAAGTGCAGCATTAGTCCAGTTGATCTCTTATTCCCTGCTATCGATCCGAATAAGCTTGTTCTAGAGATTGTAGCAATAAAGTTACACTTTGTCTGGAATTCTTTTATAAATATCAGACTGCAAGTTCATGTGATATTTAATTTATTTTGCTCTCTTGGCAGCCCTAACGGATAAAGGGAAGTTTCTTTTGGCTGCTCGAAGGTTCAGACAAGGAGCACATACAGAATATATCATCTCTTATGACTACGATGATCTGCACCCAAGAAGCAGTTCATATGTTGGAAAGTTGAGGTATGGTCTAATCATTCCAGAACCTTATTTTCCAATTTGATTACCTGATTTGTTTGTTGTGCATGCCCACGAGGTTAAATGTTCATCTTTTGACTATGTGTTAGCTGAGGTCTAATTATGGGCATAAAACCATATAATTTGTATCACGTGCCTTATTTCCATTGCTGGTACTTTAATCATTGTTCAAACACTTCAGTAAATTAACCCATCATCTCTTTATTTCTAGTAGTTATATTGTCAATATACACTATCCACGTTCATATGCATGGTCATATTCTGTGATTGAATCAGCTTATGAGCAAATTGCTTGTGTGAGTGCAGCTGCGACAGATTTCTGTGGTATCTATATTCAGCTAGCACTGGCTGAAATCCTGCTTATTCATAGGTTGAGTTTCTGGCTCAGTTACATTGATGAATTGTGGCTGCTTTTCCTTGCTTTGCAGTCAGTCAGTCACCTGTTACATAGAGCTATTTGTATGAAAACAAAGAACCGATTCGATCTATTGGATAATTTACTCCAAATGCTGTCTTGTTTATTGCCAAGTTCACTATAGGGGTATAGTAAACACTGTTCTGTTACCTCTGAACTTCTACTAATGGAGATTATATGCACATTGTTTTCTTTGTTCATGTCGCTCATGCCTTGCTTCCTTCGCTATAAATTGGCTGCAGCCTACAACACGTCCATAACTCAATGCACCTGTCATTGATGCCCTAGCACACAGCCTCAAACATGATAATACCCTGTATCATATTCTTCTCTTATACATATTAAGCTGCCATGATGGAAGGATTGCTTCTCCATTAGTAGGATGCATTGCTCCCATAAATTCGTTATGTGCAACCCCAAAGTTTGGTTTGTGGAAGGCTTTTGAAAGCGTTTAAAAATTTGCATTGTAAGCAATTGTATTTAATCTCGTTGCAAGTACTGGTAACATTTTCAAAGAATTTTCCTTCCTTCCCTTTTATGTGGTCTTTGATTTTCCATAATGTCATTCAAAACTGTGGCCCGTCCATGTGTATTTTCAGTAGCGTATATTGATACCTGATCCAGTCATCCAGATCTTAGCTCTAGCTCTGCATTACACAAGGTATCTCAATGCTTATATGCACTTTCTACCGTTCATTGTCCTGGATAAAAACATGTGAATATTGAAAGAATTGGGCCTTAAACATCCATATGAGAGTGAACTGTAGACAATGAAATACAAAAATAGTTTATACTTACAAATTGCTTCAAGGGACATTAAACTTAAAACTTTCAACCATGCTAATATTTGTGTAGATCCGGAAAAACATCAACAGATGTTGTACCGTGATGTTCGACTTAAAAATTTAATTTTTACAGCACAAAATGCTCCATTGCGATACAGGTAAATGTACATTTGGTGGGAGGGTAGGCAGATATTGTTGTAGTATACAGTTGGTTGGGAGGTTCCTTGAAAAAACTCGACCTGCGAGGGGTAAGCCACCCCTCGGGCATTCCTCCCTGTTCGCTTGGCTTATAAGCCGTACTTTTTTAGCCAACGAACAGTATTTTTCTCTCACAACAAATCAGGCAACAGTACTTTCAGCCATGGCTTATCAGCCAAGCGAACAGGGCAGTAAGAGAGACCTTCTCATACAGGCCGAGAAAACCCCAAACCCCTGCCCCACCCTGACTAAGGGGCAAGGCACAAGCACATGCTAATTTCCATGCCCTAACCCAACTGAAACTAGTCCTACAGTTATGGAGAGACATCTGATTTTCTCAATCCTACATACACGAGTCCTAACCTCTATGGAGAGACGCCTGACTTTCTATCACTTTCAAATGCATTTGATCTAGCGTTAGCCGTGAAGTAATAAAGTCATAATTTGGCACTTTATGGAGTGTTTGTTTATATTATGAAAGGCATTGTTATTATAAGAAAAATGATATCTTGTTATAAAGTTTGCAATAATACTAATTTGATAATGTGAGTTCTGCCTGTAGATCTGACTTCTTGGGGACAAAGTTCATCATCTATGATAGCCAGGCACCATATGATGGTGCTAAACCTTCGAGGAGCCGATCCACTCGCCGCTTTGCAAGCAAGCAGATAAGCCCACAGGTTTCAGGTGGCAATTTCGAAGTTGGGCAAGTGACCTATAAGTTCAACTTCATGAAATCAAGAGGGCCAAGACGAATGCAGTGCAATATCCAGTGCCCTGTAGGTCAGGGCACTTCGTCAGATCCATCCAAGGAGAAAACACCCTCTCCGAGTTCCTTAGATCTAAAGAACAAAGCTCCACGTTGGCACGACCATCTTCAGTGTTGGTGCTTAAATTTCCATGGCCGGGTGACCGTCGCCTCCGTGAAGAACTTCCAGCTTGTTGCCACAGCTGGCTCTGGTGGTCCATGGGGCGTTGGAGATGAGGAAACGGTGATCCTGCAGTTTGGGAAGATCGAGGACGATGCGTTTACAATGGACTACCGGCAGCCTCTGTCTGCTTTCCAGGCGTTCGCCATCTGCCTCACCAGCTTTGGCACGAAGCTGGCTTGTGAATAAGCGATTGCCTGTTTACCAATTATATATGTTGGGGATCAAATTGTAGGGGATAGTCTGAACTAGTTGCCCTGAGCCCCTGAGATGGGAGAAAACTGGCGACAATTATATGATGTGCGTCTATGTTGTTGAAGAGATGACGATGACTTATTGTTGTAAATGGCACTCCCTTTCGTTTGGTGAGATTCACTCATAATGCCTTATTCCGATGGTGTGCAGTGTGCTGTTAAACATCCTCTTTTCTGCATTATTTCAAAGATGATGGTTGAGAGGTTTCTATCAGACATGATCGACCACGTGTGACGGTGTGAGCATATCTAGTTGTGGTTGCTGCTAAACTGGTAGTACTATTGTTTATTGGACCAGGTGAGGAAGCATGCATGATTAAATTACCTTGTCATTGACTTACCACGTGCTCCATTTATATAGATTTATATAGAATCATGCTACATGCCCTTGGAGATTGCTAAAGAACCCATCACTACAACATATCCATTCCTAATACCCATCACCAGTAGAACAAAACAACCAGGAGTCGCTAACAGTTGGCATGATCAGGATAGCGGCTTCCGTCATTTCAGTAGGTCGCGCACGCGAATTTGCCGTTGCCTGTCATGATGGACGTCCCTGCTCGAATCAATGGAGGAGCACCGCGGCAACGGAGCACGTTTCTTGGGCTGCACATGGAGTCCCAGAAAAGACGTCGCCGGGGGTCGAGTGGACACGGAAGGCAGCGCGCGCGAGAGCCACGACTCCGTAGGCGACTTGGGCAGCGGCAACGGGAGCAGCGGCTGCGGCGACAGCGCCATCTCACGTCCGGCAACGGCCTCCTTGTCTTCCAGAAGCAGCGGGAAACCGTACCCGCCGCCGCCAGCATCGGCGGCCGCGTGCTCACGCCCCAGCTGCTTGTCGCCGTCCGGCGAGCTTTTGGTAGTAGCCGTCAGAAGCAACGCGGTGTCGCCGGTTCTGGAGAGCTTTCGCACCGGCAAGACGTGGCCGCAAGCCTCGTTTGACCTGTCGAGGACCAGGAGCAAACCCAGATGGCTCGCCTTCGGGCGGACGGCTCGCCCGTCTCGGCGTTTGTACAGTTCGCGCACTGTTCTGTCCAGCTCCGAGGCCACGGCGGCCGCCGGTCCCATCAGGCCGCCGGGGCCTGATGATCGGAGCAGTGATTTGATGTACACTTCCTCCCAGGATTGCTGTGAGATCTGCACGACAAGTCGAGTTGTTCAGGCATGAGGCGGTGAATTCGTCAGCACGCACGTGAAGTTGATGCACACGAGGATATGTAACAGGAGTACCATGCCGTGATCGTCTCCGGTATGCAGAAGTCGCCGCTGCCCGTTACGCGAGCGCGGCGGCAGCATTGGCTTCTTTTCTCTTTGGCTTCCGTCGCCGTTGGACTGGAACGGTGTGCCTGCACCTCGCCGCGCGACGCGGGATAGCAGCAAGGCGCTCTTCACGCAACGGGTTGAGAACAGCCCGCAGCTCTTGGACGCGAAGCCCGCCGTGCTGTGCGCGTCGGAATTGTCGTCGTCGTCGTCGTCGTCGTTCTTGCCACTGGGAGGGAGGGGCGGCAGGTGATACGCCGCAATGTGCTGGAGGGGCACCCGCCTTTGCGCCGGCACCCTGTCGCCGCCGGCCGTGTGCGCGCCTAGCACCACAGCCGCCCGGGCCGACCCCGCCTTCCGGAACGTGTTCTGCGGGGAGCCGGCGGCCACGGCGTGCGCGGCCGGCAGGAACCGGTCCATCATGACGCTGCCGCTGCCACGGGCGCACGGCCCCGACCCCGCCCTGGCCCCCGCGGCGTCGCTGAGCCCGGTCGCGCTGCAGTTCACGGTGACGCAGCTGACGTCGTCGCGGGAGAGCGCGTCCGAGCACCGCTCCTCGCCCCGCCGCGCGCGCTCAGAGGCCACGACCACCGCCGTCGGATCCCGCGTCACGCGCGAGGGATCGTTGTTGATGACGTCGACGATCGTCAAGGGAGGTGGTGGGGCCGGCGGCGGCGGCGGAGGCGGAGGCGGCCGGCGGGTGCGGACGCTCTTGGGGTGCCCGGGGCGGTGCTCCCACCCGAATGGCACCGCGCTGGTGTGGCCCGGGGGATCCGACGTGGCGTCCGCCTTGTAGGCCGGCAACGGCAACCCCGTGGCCGCGGTCTCGGCGCCACCGCCACCGTGGCGCCGGACGGAGAGGAGTGGCGCGGTGAGATTGATGCGCTTGTTGGCGTCGGCCATGACGACGGCCTAATTATTAGACAACTAGTGAGAATGCGAAGCTTGCTGCTGCGCTCCGCAGACCTCAACCACTTCGTCACTGCACTGCACTGAAGTAATCCTCGGATTAAATAATGGGAGACACTTGGATCGTTCTGCTTAATGATTCCTTGTACTCGTATTCAGGTGCAGTGCAGTAGCTCGCCGCATGGCGCCGGTATAGCCGTACACGACGTGGCGGGAAGCGACCAAACTGAGCTGACAGGTTGCTACACTGTCACTGCAGTCTGTGCACGAGCTCTGATTCCTGTAAAATTCTTGTAAAAAACGAAGAGAAAAACAAACAGAGATACATCTGCTACTGTGGAACATGCTCCTACTAACATTTCTTTACACCCTGTGGCAGGTGAAGGTTTTTGATGTGCCTGTCGGCTGCTGCCTGCAGCTGCAGCTGCAGCTGTTGCCGAAAGGGGGAAACGGTTACAGCATGTTACATTCTCGCTACTACGACATTCATTGTCCTCTGATTGATTGGTTGTATTATTGGAACGTACGTAGCAGAAGCATCATCAGCGCTGACAAAACGGCTGTGTGGCCTCGCGGGAGATTAGAGCATGCATAACAACCGGTTGGTGACCCTTGTGTCGGATCAGATGGACGGCATTGTCAGTAGCGGATGGGGAGTCGCCGTCGTGTTCATAACTGCCATGCAGACTACAGCGAGGCAGGTCGTTTTCTCGTCGCGCTAGAGGTGGGAGGAGATCGAGCAGCACCGACACAACCCGTGTTCCCTTTGTCCCTGGCGTCACCAACTGACGACTGACGATAGGGGATAACCAGAATCATGCTACAGCAATGGTACAGTCATCATGTTGATTGGCAGGCAATGCTGTGCAGTAATCCGATGAGTACGTGCTAATCACGTCCAGCATCGCCGACGTGTCTGAGATTTCTTTCTGACATTATCGCCATGCTAATAATGGCTTGGTTGGTTTGGTTTGGCAAGCATAATTCTAAGGACTGTTCGTTTCAGTAGTAAACCAAGTACTACGTGCTAAGTGTATGCAGCATCCCCAATAGTGCGTTTGGTGTGTGCGAACTTTGCATCTAGCGCGGTTAAGCTGTATGCATCCTGAAGTCTCTAACAACTCTACTATCTGCATGGCGTTTCTGTTTGTTTTACATTCAAGAGCCCATTTACAGGTCACTCGCTGAAACGCCCCTTTCTACTTTTTCCGAAGGGACTGTCCATCGGCACCTAAAGTGTGCCAAGCGGCCAGCACAGCACCTGATCTTTCCCCAGGAGTATGTGGCGCTGGATCGAAGAATCTACTAGGGTTTTTAGTTTGAGGAATACCTTAGTCCGTTGTCTCCTTGCTCTTTCTTTTGGTTTGTGGAAAAAATAGGTTAATCGATCACCTAATTCACCATAAGCTAATAATTAATACTAGTACGAGGATTGGAATCATTCCACCAAATTCGAAAAAATAAACTCACAATGCACTACCTTGTAAAGTAATCACTCAAACCAAACACCGTATAACAGTCCAAAGTCATAGTGTTCCTCTCTAGCCAGATGCATCTGTTGACTTCTCACCCTACCATGGGCGTCAAGCTGTCTTGCCATCCTGCTCTCAAACCGCAGCCACCATCAGGCCAATGTGCCGCTAGTGATATCTCCTCTAAGCCGCCGGACTCCCCGGTGAACCCGTTCCTAAATTCCATCCCAACACTACAATCCTGAAATATTGCCAGGGATGACTGTGTTTCTAATTCTCTAACCACATCATCTTAGAGCAGCATCGATGTTCGAGTAGTAGAAAAACAAAGTGTTTGGGGGATGTTTGGGGCTGCTCCGTTTTACGTTTTTCAGCTCCGCTCTACGTTTTTTTAGCTAAACGGTTTCAGCTCTATGCAATCTGTTCGAGAAAAAAGGGTGAAGTTATGAGAGTACCTAAAGAGATGCTCCACAAGCTCCACCACAAGCTCTAATTTTTTGTGGAGCTGCTCCACGGTGGAGTTTGTGGAGTAGTCCTAAACACCCCCTTAGGGATGGTTAAGGCTAGCACTCACCAGGTGATATTTAGCTTTTCTCCCTTTTCCAAAACAAGGTTCTTTAAATGTAAATAAAGAAGAAAGTATTCCACGAGACTTTTCTCACTTCGAGGAGTAGGGCGCAACAAGTCAATTCAACCCATTATACTAAGGGTCTATTTGATAAACGTGGCTAGTTATTAACTTTGCTCAAATTAGCTGTGGTTGTTTTTCTAGTTGGCTAACTACTAGTTGAACATTGGCTAAAAAAATTAGCCCACCTATTAGCTCTCATGTTCGGATGCACTAAAACTAATCTTAGCTAACTAGCAACTAGCTAATTTTTAGTTGAACTCTTGCCTTAAGCCTCGTTATGGCTCGATCTTTAGGACTAGCTGGCTCGGTTCGGATTGTTAAGAAAACAAGCTAAAACTTTAGTCCGACTCAGATTGTTTAGCTAACAGTTTGGACTTGTTTCAATAAAAAACTACTACTAGTTTGATGCAAACATCAGAAAAGAAGTACAATGCATAGCATATATATACCTGTTCTGAATTTCATCTCATGTGTAGAACATAACGTCAAACTCTAGCTTTTGCTTGTTTAGGTGTTTGGACTATGAAATGCTTAGTTCGTTTGACTCGATAGCTAACTTGCGAGCTCGCTCATTAACTTAGCTAGATGGTGCCCCGCGCTTCGCTGCGGGTAGAGGGCGAAACTCACCAAATATAAGCAAAGATCTAAAAAAAGGTACCAGACTATATAATCATGTCTCCCTAAACAAATGTCATATTCAATTCAAAGTGTTTGAGCTGGAAAATATATAATCGATCACATTCGTAACCACACCACTTCAGGGTGGATCGGTCTCCTTATGTAATGCGCTGGCTCATAATATGTATCTGCAATGGTCACAAAGCAAGCAAGAGATAACCAAAAGCTCCAGGAACAAATCAACACAGGATGAAAAAGACGAAGAGCCTATTCCAGTTTCAGTGGCGGATGCAGGATGGGAAGAGAGAGGGGGGGGGGGCTAAATAATGAAGATTTAGGGCTAGGGATAGAGATTAATGGTGATTTGAGGCTAAGTAACCGTGGTCTAATGAAGAAATCAGGCTCACTAGGGGAGGCTGTAGCCCCGGCAGCCCCCCCTTTGGATCCGCCCCTGGCCAGTTTATAAGGCATGAAATCGGTCAATCAATATGAGCATGGATATGGTTAAATCGTCATATTAGAGAAAGAGGTTTCCATAGACTCAATGTAGTCATTTAAACTGTAAAGAGAGCAAGATTATGTACATACCATGGGCATAGCAAAGATGATACAATGGATTTGTTTTTCTAATGACATCAAATTCTGAAAGGGTCTATGTAAATCAGTAGGTATCATGTATTATTTTTTAGCCTCTTTCTTTCAATTTCTTTTTTTCTTGTATGGGGAAAGTTTTTTTATCAAGCAAATCCTATGGGTATGGGGAAAGTTTTTTTATCAAGCAAATGCTGTGACTAATAGAAGGAAATTGTAACTCCATAAATCATGTGAGGTGGCCTAAAAGTGGACTTACATTTTTTTTGTTCTGGAACTCGGCGACAACTTACTTCAAAAAGTGTAGTAGAACACTGAAGGGGTCAAATTGGATGTATGAGACGCTAGAGCAAGTGAAGAGTTGTGTAATATTTGCCTACGAATCAAGCAGACATGTTTGTAAGAGTGTAAACCAAATTTAGAATACACCTATGAACCTACAAATACTACCTAGACAAATAGAATGGGATGAAAGAAAGAATGGATATTTAGAGAGATTTTGCCAGACTCAACCCTCGCATAACAAATTTGGATTCACTTATCAGCGACTATGCAGAACATACGAAAGATTAGAATTACTACTAGTTGTTTATGTGAAGCACTTTCAAAAAATAGTGTCATGACTGTGCATTTAGTGCAGGATCAAAAAGCAGGTACAATCCTTTTTTCTAATATTTTGAATGCTATGTAAACTAATGTGGAGCGCAACAAATATGGTTTGCAGTAAACATCCAAAAAGTGACAATGCATTAGATTGTACGTAGTAGTATACATTAGATAGCTAGAATGAATTATGAATTAGGAGCTGCACTTGTAACTGGCATTGGCAGATTAGTAATGCTTACGAAAAGATTAACAACATTCAAAGTTGTAATGCATGTTTCGTACTAACTGCCACGTGGATGATCTGAACATACATTGAACACCACTGATAACAGAGAAAAAACATGTATGCATGTGTGGGCTTTTATAATCCTATATGTGTAGCTTGCATCTGTGCACATAGATATTGAATTAGAAAGATGAGTAAGCACAGATCGAAGAATACAAACACCAATTAGTTCAAAGCTGCAAAGGTAGCATAGTATAACTTTAAAGAGTCAAAAAAGTAAATGCTCACCGAAGAGCAGACCTTTAAATTGTTCCTACTGCTGTGATCATGGAAGCAATCTTTCAAATAGAATTTGCAGGTACATGAACAGACCGGTCTATTTAGTATATCTTTCATTGCATATAAGGATACAACGAAGGATCATATGAACACATGTGACCAGGTCCTGTAAAGCTTATATGATGATTCCAGTTAGTTTCTTTAATACATAAACTACACAGGAAGCATAGCACATGTACCTAAATTTAGGTTATTAGAACTTTAGACATTTAGGGAAACTAATATGAAAACCCGATATGAAGGTAAGGAGAGGCAGCAGACCATAATGGCGCAATTGTCCTCTATGGACCTTTCGAGGTAGTCCAGGTTAAAGTGGAGCATACATGCAGAGGGCCTCCATAGCCTCGATAATATTCCACATCACCAGCTGCAGATCCATATCGCAGGCAACCCAGAATTAGTTGGTACAAAATAACTAAACAACCAACACATATAAATTGAATTCCAGGAAGCACAAACCTGACGTACTTGCTGTAATGCAGATGACCTTGGCGTGGTGGGCGTTTGCGGA